GGCTTTTCCGGTAAAGCCAAAATTTTTATTAAGCTATATGCTTCTTTTCCGATGAATGTGAGAAAATGTGCCACAATATTAATATTCTCATCATCTTCCTTGGTCATAGCCCAGATTTCGAACCTTTCAAAGTAATCCTCATAAGCATCAAAATCCGAATGAATATCTAACTGTTCCATCGCAGGCCCCATCGCGACGCCAATATGATAATTTGAAGTAATTGAATTATAGTATGAACTAAGAATCCCAGGGATAACGCAATTGAATCAAGAAGTACTACACAAGCACTAACGAATGTACTGTATTTAGAATTCGAAATCAAACATTCAACAAGTACAAAAGAGTCATTAGTTCATTCAAACACCACAGAAATCCATCTTTTTAATAAGTTTTAGAGAGTCATTGTCTTTGAAGAACGCTTAGAATACATATATTACAGCAAGTACGCTTTTACTCCGCTCTCCAGTTCAATAAATGTTGTAGCATGAAAAACTAAAAAAGTTTAATGAATTGCTATCAGTCTACATAAAGATAGGACTCAAACCTGGACGGGTTATCAATAAACATTGAGATGCGCTAACCGTAACAAAAATGCATTTTGAGCAAAACCTTACACTGGTAACAGAGAAACGCATTTTTGGCCAGTTTGACGGAAGAACTTTCCACATAATCTTCAACAGTTTTATTCGTCCCGATTTAGAAAACGGAAACATAGCATTTCCTTAATCACTCCAAAAGGATAATGACACTGGGGGGAGAGATACGCAACCAAGACGATTCACAGGCACTTCAGGAGAATCTGACTCGACTTCAAAGTTAGGCAGACGACAACGGACTTACCTTTAACACTTCGAAGTGTTAAGTAGTCCATATGCGGCATGTCACAGATCACAGTTACAACTTAGGAAACTCCTCTCTAGTAGTATCTCGAGTCGAAAAAGATTTAGGATGAAGATGCCACAGGTATTCGGAGTTTGACAACGCTTTAACCAGTAACACCTAATATGAAGCGCACCCACCAAGTAAAATCAAAAGACAGAAGCAAGGGGATCGAAGATATATTTGATAAGCTATCAATATATCGAGGATTGTTTGCACTAATCTGGCTAGCGATTGCGGCAGATGTTGAACACGGCGTTCCCACACGTGATCTGGTGCGGATGCTTGACCGAGCGCCTTCAGCTAGATGAGTCCACTAAAACTGTGGTCAGCATCCAATGTCAAAACTTACAGAGCTATTTGATTTTGGGGAATTATTTACCGCTACAGATCACTCCCCCCCTAGTGGGGTAGTGATGACCCTGAGACGTGGCCAGCCAGAAGTTTAAACCCAACGAGTTGTTCGTTGGTAAACACTCTTCTGATAGCTTGCTATGTTTAGCAGCGTCTGGTCGTCTTTCCTTACTATAATGGACCATGATGTACAATATAGTAAAAAAAGGTACAATGCAGATTTTCGTTTCTCGCAACTTCATCGTTCTTTTCATCGTCTTTTCCAGTCGTCCTGGAAAAGAAAAGAAAAATATGTGAGTGCATGTCGGAATACACTAGTTGTCGTGGCATTTTTTTTAAAAACCTTAAGGGCAGGCAGTTACGTTAAGTTACCTACAAGAAATCTGTTTTTTACAGTAGAAATGCCTTTTAAAACCCTTTCAATTGAAAATTACTGTGAATAGTGGTGGAATGACTATGGCATCAGTAAGATGATTAACAAACTAGAACTCAACTGAGTTCTAGTTTTGCATGAAACTTTGTCGTTTTTGAAGCTTCGACGAACCTGAGACTACAGTCTCAGATGATGATCGTCCTTCAACTGTCCGTAAACACAGAAAATCTACATTACCACCGAAAGTTCTCATGCTGTGAACCAACCCAGTCTTCCGATTTTGAGGTTTCCCCCAGTCATAAGAAAATTCGTAATGTACCCCAATGCGGAAATATCGAGGAAAAACCCAGGACCAATGGGTATCGCTGAAAAATTCCAACCACATTAAAACACAATTATATGAATAAAGAATATTCTTTTTCGAAAATGTCTCATCATGTTCTACAATTATATATATCCAAATTAATAACCCATAAAACCGACCAGTTTTAAGGCAGAGTACATCGATCAGAACTGTAACATGTGAATCAAGGATTATTTGTCATATAAAATAAAATCGTTAATGTTTTGGTGACTAATATAAAGTATTAACTTAAATAAGCTTATACATTGAATGAAATTGTAAGAGAAATGATCAGAATAAATATGGTCAACATGGGGTGAGAGAGAGAACAATGTAATTACAAATCGGAAATTATGTAATATGTAGAATAATATGAATTGAGCAAGAATTAGTAAATAGGTGTGGATGTTAAATATCTCAAAAACTTAGCAAGTAGAATAATAATAATAATAGTGACAATGTTAAGATGTTTGGATAAGTTAAAAACTAAAAAATGAACATTAATCCGATAACGTCACCATGTCATGAAATTGATTATTAACTAGTTGGACCTGAAATTGACTGAGTAAAAGGAGCGGCTGGACATAGTTCGTTGGGATGCAAAGTTGTGGCTATTTAATCCAAATAGCAGTTGCTTTAGCCGTCTGCAGGATTTTATTTTACCCGACAAACAAACCTTGATTAACGCGCTACAATTTTAAATGATGTTCTCTGTCCTAAACCTGACCAATTTTATGGATTAATAATTTGGATAAATAATTATAGAACCAATGGTTATGTTGGTAATTGCCCAAATTTAGGTGAAAAACCCTAATATCTGTTGCGCAGTTCTGTGAACATGAATTTACTATTTAGAGTACTGCTTAAGCTTTCTACTACGTAATTACAACAAATTATAATATTCGGTTACATGATAACCAAGTTCACCACGCATTCCAGTACCATTGTTTTGACCTTGCCTTAGTATGTCAAATAGACATGAGAGAAAATAGCGTCCGTTGAACGCTACTCTTCAAAAAAACTTAAGCCACGAAGGTGAGTGACTGTTAATATTATAAAGTTCGACTACTCCTGTCGAGCTTGACTGCAGCTGTTTCTTTTAGACTAATAGTGAAAAATGCAACGAAAGAGATGAGGGCGATAAGGACCATCCTGATGGGAGACTCAAACGCCAAAGTCGGAATATACAACACCGGATATGAAGATATCATGGGACTGCATGGACTGGGAGAGAGGAACGAGAATGGTGACAGATTTGCAAATCTACGTGAAATCAACAAATTGGTTATGGGCGGAACAATATTCCTACACAAACGCATACATAAAGCTACATGGGTCTCACAGGATCAAACCACAGAGAACCAGATAGTTCGTATTTGTATCAATAAAAAGTTCCGAAGGACAATGAAAGATGTGAGAACCAGGAGAAGAGCGGATATATCTTCAGATCACCACCTGGTTGTGTCCAGGATGAAACTGAAGCTAGAGAAGAACTGGACAACTGGACAAACAGAACTACAAAGGTTCAATACAGCCTTCCTTCGAGATACTGACAAACTCAATGAATTCAAGATAGCTCTGAACAACAGGTTCCAAGCCTTACAGGATCTACTGAAAGAAAAAGAAACTACTAAGGAGAACAATTAGAAAGGGACTAAAGAAGCATTAACTTCAACGTGTCAGATGATGGGCCGCAACAAGCATCATCATAAGGAATGGATCTCGATAGAAACCCTAGTCAAGATTCAAGAAAGGAAGAACAAGAAGACAGCAATTAACAACAACAGTAGCAGAGAAAGCCGATATACCGACCGAATACACAAAAGTATAAAAACGAGCGAAGAACGTTAGAGTTGACAAGCAGAAATACGTGGAAGAGCTAGCAACAACAGCGGAAAAAGCTTCAAGAGAAGGAAATATGAGACAGCTATATGACACAATGAAGAAGCTAGCAAGGAAACGTAGCAAACCAGAAAGACAAAGAAGCCAAGACAATCACCGAGATTCAAGAACAGAGGAACAGATGGGTAGAATACTTCGAGGAACTCTTGAATAGACCTGCTCCATTGAATTCACTGCACATCGAAGTAGCATCTACATCTAGTTGCTCAAGTCTGCCGCTTATTTCGGCTAGAGAGTTTTGTAGTTAACGGATATCAGTGATATATCTATCAGTATTTTCATGTGTATGAGACGAACTATTGGACTCTTTGGTTTTTGAAATTTTAGATTTAAGTTTTGGTAGAACGTACTGTCTGGTAGACTGTGTTGACGTTTCGATGCACATGGGTATAGTGTCTTGTATGTCAACCAGTCTGACAGTTGGCATACTGCACGCAGAGATGGAGGGGCAGTAACATGGGGATTCAGGTGATGTTAGAGACATTTGTGTACAATGCGCATATTGTTCACTTGTTAAAGTTTTGACATTGTCAGGTACTTAGTCGTCAGTCATAGTGAGGACCGGAGTCAGGCAAGGCCGCTTACTCTCCCCCTTCCTCTGATGGTCGACTGGATTATGGAGACCTCGATATCTGAGGGGAAGCACGGAATACCATAGACAGCTCGGGATCAACGAGAAAATTTGGAATTCGCAGATACCCTGACTCTTCTATCTCATACAAACGAACAAATACAGGTGAAGGCAACTAGAGTAGCAGCAGCCTCTGCATCAGTAAGCCTCGACATACACAAGGGAAAATGCAAGATCTCTAAATACCACACAACGAACACCAACCCAATCACACTTGATGGGGATATTCTGCAAGAAGTTGAAACTTTCACGTACTTGGTCAGCATCATTGATGAAGTTGGAGGATTTGATGCAGACGTAAACACAAGGACATTATTACTAGGATCAAATTCAGAATCCTTAATACGAACGAAAAGAGAGTTTTACTGTACGGAGCTGAGAATTGGAGAACTACAACCATCATCAATTAGGTACAAATGCTTATAAATAATTGTCTACACAATATACTCAATATCCGTCAACCGGAAACCATCATCGATAGCCTACCGTGGGAAACAACAAACCAGAAGATACTAAAATGGTAACGTTAGCTTTAATGAGAAAAAACAAAAGTCTTGTTGACAAAAGGATTTTTCGTATTGAACAGTTATATAACCAAATGAATTCAACTACATTGAACTCATAAAGATCTGTTGCTTTGAGTACTAAGAAAATAGATTTGAAACAGAGATACACATAAATTTTAAAGAAGATTTATGAACATTCATCGTCTACATATCGTTATTGTCCGGATCGTATAATTGAAATATAAAGGATCAAAAAAAAGTCAAACTCCGAAGACTAGCATTTACAGCAACCCCCGTTTTAGACGACTGATAAGATGAACCATTTTCAAAGCCGGACCCAATTTAATCTTCATATAATTACGCAGTGATTCCATGCTAAGAAGAAGAAGTGCTTGGCCATCTATTTCCTATAACAGAAGAGTTATAATACATCTACTTATTTTTTTTAAGTCTTCATACACATAATACAATATCAAATTTATGGATGCACTGACCACACAGTATATTGGCAGAAAGATACAAACTTTACAATGGAAAAAAGGTACGAATACTTAATGTATAACCATAGAAAACCATCATAAGTGTTCGTTTAACGTCTCAAGAGCTAACGATGTGCCTTTATTAGACAAGTAAAGCCTGAGGGATCTGACCGAATTCAGCTAATTTTACTTATACTCGTATGTCAGGTTCTGTTTTGCGTATAACTGAATGACTAGTATTACAACTACTGAAATTAGATAAAATAAAGTACTAAAAGCGGTCATCAACTCGGATTAACCAGAGACTCCAATATTAATATATTATTTTTCACTAGTTTATTTAAAATACAGCTAAATAATAGTATGAAGATAGCTAGTGAAGATACTAGCACTAGAGATTAATTCGTCAAAAACGGTTCTTGACCGACTACAACATAAAAAATCGGTTACTAGTGTTTCAAGAGGTAAATATTGCGCATAACCGGTGGACAAAGCTAATATGGTTTGTCATAATTGGAGGTTTATCGAAAAAACCAAACTAATTATTCTCTGTAATAAATACAAGCATTAGTATTAACTGACGTTGTCCAGCTAATTATAAGACTAATAAACTTGAGAACTGCACGATTAACTGATGCGATTTGTACACCACAATAAGGGGTATTTTTACTATCAAAGTATCGGTGTTACAACACAAGGTTGATTGAGAACGTTAATCAAGTTTTTAATCCAGCAGTAATACGAAAAAATGTAACTTGCTAGGTAACAAAAGATTTCATCCAGAACTAAAAACATCCTAAATTAGCATATTGCGTTTTCCAGTCTCAATTTGATACCTGACCTACTTCGTAAGACTTCTGGATTCCTGTACACAAAGCATCGTTCGTGCTGGAAAAAACACCATAACATAAAACCTGAGGACTAGTAATTATTTGTAAAATAAAAGAATGACCCACTTTGGTTTGAGCTATGGAAATAAGTAAGAAAAAACGGACAGCATTAATGATGACAAAAAAACATACATGATGTTTGAATTTTTCCGCTGCTTCAAGGAGAGTAGCATCACGAGCCGTAATGTAGTTGTATACTTCTTCAATGGTCCACTGAGTAGGATTAGGAAAAGGAAACGATCCTAAATCTGAAATTTTATACACAAACAGTTAAAACTGATGAGTGAAATGTCTCTTGTTAGTCGTCTGATACATAATTTTGATAAGTGAATTATGGCCAGCAACTTCAAACTATCGTTTGTATGCGTATTGTGTTTTTCTTTGTCTAATATTTTTCGACCAATATACTTCACTTGACTTGAAGTGACTGACAGTTGGATGCAGAAGAATAAACAAATAGGCTTTATCGAAGTTAAACGTAGAGTACTCATTATGATATTGGATCAGTTATTGTGAAATTTCACCAACTAAGATATCTGAGACATGAATTGAGAGAATACAGCCTTTCCATAAGTCGATCCATAATATAGTAAAATATTTACATAAATAATAGAATAAAAATATTTAAAAAATACATTTTATTTAATTATTTACTACTTCCGATATGAATAATAGGAAACTGTGGCGTTGATGTATGCCCGTGAGATAGATCAAAAGCATCTTAAAGTATTTGATCCCGCATTTCATACACTAAGCAACAAACCACTTTAAGTAACTCACTATCATTTCATCTTCAGCGATATTTGTAGTTCTAATTATAGGTGTTTTGTATACATCAATAAACTAACAATTAGTGACTACGTGAAGTGATGTAATATACTGAGCTGTGTTTTTAACTTTGTTAATATTAGAATCAAATCCTAGTCACCACTGTGTGCATTTAAAAAATGCCAACTTCTAGACGTTTCCGACCTTATCCCTCCATTTAGTCAATGCCGGATATCATATAAATCGTGTCCAATAAAGGCTACCACAACCCAAGGAAGCCTATATGAAGATAAGTTACTTTTAGCACAACTGAGCTTCAAACTAATGGCCTCAGTCAGTAGAAGTGTTAAGATGATCAGAATTACCAAACGCATAAGATAAGATTATTATCTATCACACGTACTGGAGATTGTGAAATGTACGATACAGAGAATTCACAATTATAATAGCATCATTTTCCTTATAGAATAAATTAGCTATTAACAAAAAAATTGATGTCTCACTCATGATTTTTAACTCAAAAACGGTTATATATATATATATATATATATATATATATATATATATATATATATATATATATATATATATATATATATATATATATATATATATATATATATATGGGCAAAATATATCTGGCCACTTGGGTTTATTTTACAGCAAAGAATGAGTAAAGGTAAGTTTAGTTATGTTGGGGACGATAAATTCCCCAAAACTCACATTGTAAAATTATCGATTAAATGTTGAATATTTGAATAGCAATCAATTGATGAACTTATTGACGAATGTTAATAATTTAAATGACAATATCGATTATATATTTTGTATATATATACGTTTTAAATTGTTTTGGTGAGTCGCTCATTTTCTGGTTGTTGCAGAATAAACTTCTCATTTCAAGCTTGGTCTTCTCACTCTAGATAGCGGGGCTGGGACGCGTCAATAGATAGCTTACTGGACCTTGGTCACCGAATCCTCGATCTCGTTCTCAAACTACGTGAACCTCTCTCTCTCTCTCTGTCTTCAAACCCTAACAATTGGCGACGGTAGTTCGGAAACATGGATCCGTCCAAACTTGAATTATTACTCGAGCAGCAGATGAAACTTATTCAGATGTTAGCAGATACAAAATCTACGTCTAATACTCAACCAAGCAGTTCTAATCCTACTACTACCGCACCATCAGTGGATGGTATCGCTAACAGCATCTCCGAGTTTCATTACGATCCGGAATCCAATGTCACATTTGATATGTGGTTTCGACGTTACGAAGACTTATTCAAATTTGACTTTGCTAACCAGGATGATGCTTGGAAGGTCCGCTTGCTGCTTCGAAAGTTGGGTCCTAGTGAACTAGACAGGTATTGCAACCTAATTCTGCCTTTAAACCCACGCGATCGCTCATTCTCGGACATTGTTCAGTCATTGAGCCAACAATTCGGAGACAACTCCTCACTATTCAATGCGCGCTATCGATGTTTGAAGCTCACTATGAACGAAGATGCGGATTTTCTCACACACGTGGGTATTGTCAACCGAGAATGCGAACGCTTCCGGTTGAAGTCGCTTACTGAAGACCAATTTAAAGCACTCATTCTCATCTGCAGCCTTCAATCGCAGTTCAGTGACATTAGAACACGTTTGCTAAGTCGATTGGACCAAGACCCAAAACTAACCCTTAATGATATTGCAAACGAATATCAACGCCTAATCAATCTACAGCGTGACACTACGATGGTCCGGCGTGGTGGTTCAGATCTTACCGAAGTTCATGTAGTCCAACAACCACCCAACTCACATAAAACTGCCCCAGCGACATCCAGTTCAGGTCAACAGACAAAAACAAGTCCTCCTGCTCCATGCTGGCACTGTGGTGCATGGCATTTTGTTCGACACTGTCCATATAAACAACATCGGTGCAGGAAATGTAATGCGGTGGGTCATAAAGATGGTTTTTGTCGAAAAAAGAAGCCGAGCAACTCCAGAGGTACCAGAAAGCCTACGCCTAGATCCAACACGAATTCGTTGAGTCTAATAGCAAGCTGTCAGAACTCAACCCCAGGTGAGAGGAAATTTATTACCCTTAATATTAATGGGCGCCCGTTCAGATTGCAAATAGACACTGCATCTGACGTAACAATTCTCTCACGAAAATATTGGATCAGAATGGGAAGACCACGCACGATGCCAACAACACAGAAACCTCGAACTACATGCGGTAATTATCTACGTTTGTTGGGACAACTAGATTGTAAAGTGTCTTTTCATAATTCAACGTTTACCGGGGTATGTTACATCACACCAGCTGATCTTAATCTACTTGGGTTAGACTGGTTTGACCGGCTACATTTGGCAGACGTTCCGTTAAGCACCGTATGCCATCTGGTGAAACAACCTCATGAACCTGAAGCATATTCAAAAGAACTAATGACAGAGGACCACGCGCAATGTTATCTGACAACTGCTATTCGTGCTTTGCCAGTCACAGCAGCTGAAATACAATCTGCATCCATGAACGACTCTATCATAAAGAGAGCGATGAAGTACGTCACCAATGGTTGGCCGCCAACTGGACTCGGTGGTGACTTGAAGCAGCTTTACCACCGTCGGGACTCATTATGTGTCGTAAATGAATGCTTGATGTTTGGAGATAGAGTAGTGGTGCCAGCGTCCCTAAGACCAAGAGTGTTAAAGCAATTCCATACTGGTCATCCGGGTATAAAACGAATGAAATCCATCGCCAGAAGCTATGCTTATTGGCCCCTTATGGACCAACATATCGTGGATCTAGTAGGCAAATGTACACAATGTCAGCAAGCGGCCAAGTGTAACGCGAAAGTACTGCCGGTCCCATGGCCACAGCCTGAGTTTCCCTGGTCCAGGATACATGTCGATTTCGCAGGCCCAATTAATGGAATCACCTATCTAGTCGTTGTTGACGCCTTTTCTAAATGGCCAGAAATCGTTCCCGTCATGCCACCAACGACAACCCAAACGATGAAACTTTTGACAGAGATGTTCTCCCGCAACGGATTACCGGATATAATCGTATCCGACAACGGTTCGCAGTTCACCTCAAGTCAATTTCAAGAATTTTGCAAACGCCTATCGATCAAGCATTTCCGCTCTCCACCTTACCACCCACAGTCAAATGGCCAAGCAGAAAGATTTGTGGATACATTCAAGAGAGCTCTAATGAAGTCGAAAGGGGAGGGGACACCAGTGGAAACACTGCAGAATTTCTTGTTTGTCTACCGAACAACACCTAGTGATATGCTTCCACAGCAGAAGTCCCCGGCAGAGATCCTAATGGGAAGGAAATTGAGGACGATCCACAGTCTGATGTGCTCAAGAAACACAACACCACCACCACCACCTCAGACCAGATCTCAGAAGCTGCCAGCATACGAGGTTGGATGCCCGGTGTTCGCTCGAGACTACAGAGCAAACCATGGTCCTTGGATCGAAGCATGTGTGGTTGGGAGATTAGGCCAAGTTGTGTACGAGGTAAGGGTGGGAAGAGACATATGGACAAGACACAGAAACCAGCTACGGAAGCGAATAATCCCAGACTGCCCATCGACAGCGGCAAATCTTCCTCTTGACATCCTGCTTGATACCTTCAACTTACCAGCAGCCCCACCACGAGAAGAAGCTCAACAAGAAGCTGATCTCCGTTCTAGAAGGTGGCCTCTACGACTACGGCGAGCAACAGTCAGGCTGCAGGTCGACCCCAGGAAGGCGCGCTATTAAAAAGGGGAGGAGTGTTGGGGACGATAAATTCCCCAAAACTCACATTGTAAAATTATCGATTAAATGTTGAATATTTGAATAGCAATCAATTGATGAACTTATTGACGAATGTTAATAATTTAAATGACAATATCGATTATATATTTTGTATATATATACGTTTTAAATTGTTTTGGTGAGTCGCTCATTTTCTGGTTGTTGCAGAATAAACTTCTCATTTCAAGCTTGGTCTTCTCACTCTAGATAGCGGGGCTGGGACGCGTCAATAGATAGCTTACTGGACCTTGGTCACCGAATCCTCGATCTCGTTCTCAAACTACGTGAACCTCTCTCTCTCTCTTCAAACCCTAACAAGTTACCACATACAATCATGAAAAAAAAGGACTATTTGAACATCTCAACCTTAGAAGTTCACGAAAACGAATAAATTACTGGATATGAATGAAATCATTCCCTCGAATTATTTTTTATAGCTGAACAACTTTAATAAGTAGGACGGTTTATCTTGACAGAACGTTGTGGGGATAAATTTGCAGAAGCTACTAACAGGGATATAAGAGAAACTGATCAAAAACAAACTAGTGGGAAATTAGCTCGAGAAAAAAAGTAGTAGCGTTGCTAAACAACTTAATTAATTTACCGACTGGGACAATATCATGTTGTGATGTCAAAAAAATAAAGTGTGATTTAAACGGAACAATCAATTATCTGGGGAGACCAACTGATTGCTGGACCAATTCACAGCATGAATTTTACTGAGCACGCAACGCAAAACTAGAGTTCTATTATTCCTAAGTGCTAGAATTGACAATCAAACCTTTTACTGAATTTACTCAGAAAGTAAATGAGTTCACAAACGTGATGCCTGAAGCCTCATTGAATCGTCAGTTCGAAACACGGATAGCTATTCAAAAACCAAAATTAAGGAGCAGATTTAAAAATCAATTCACAGACTAAATGCTCAAACAGACTAACGTAATGGACTTCGTCATATATATATACATATGAGAGTCTTTGATATGGTATTTGACTTAAACATACGTTGATAGTAGCACAGGGGAACAGAAGGAGTGACCTTTTGAAATTTTTTTGTATTAAAAGCAATTAGTTGAGCTTAGAGTTCACTTGAAAATGAACATTACTATTCATAATGTTCAAAAGTGGAAATATTTTTCAGTCATGTTGAAAATAAAATTATATGGAGTGCTTCATGAACATCAATGGGCAATGAAGGTTATGTTGAACAGAGACAATTAAGAATTTATTATAATAGTACAACAACAAAACTCTAAATCGCTCAAATTCTCCCATCGAGAAAGATAGATATGAAAACTGCAGACCTTATGCTGGATATAGTCTAAATAAGTTGAAACCATATTTGTAGGTTTTATAGTATAAAAAGATAAGGGCACAAACTTACCCAGTGATGAAGGAGATACTGTTGACGAAGGAAGATGTGTAGTTAGACTCTGACTATCTAAACTATCAACATTTTGATGAGCGTACATAGGATAAGAAGATTTATTAGAATTAGATTCTAACTTTCCAGAAAACCACAAATGTGAATCGGATGTTTCAACAGATAAATTATCATGAGAAGGGGAATTCATTTCGTCAAAGTAACAGCCATTCGTATGCATGATATCATGAGAGATATGTGATTGAAAGACTAAACTTGACCCCATGGTTGCACTATTACTTCGATCGTTCTCCGATTTAAATAAACTCTTTCTATCTCCCATGAAGACAGGAGTACACGTTAATGCAGAATCGTTTTTGCAGAAAGCGGTAGAATTGGCAGCTTCATTTTTGTACAAATTGGGATTGCCTTCTGGATAAGCGATTGACTTTTCATAGTTTTGACTCACATCAGAAAAGCCTTTCAACTGAGGAGAAACTGAATCAACATACTCATAGTCGCACAGCACCGAATTAGTTAAACTGTCAGTATAAAGTGAGAAAATCAAGAATAAGATGTGAATTCTAGTTTCAATGATTGGGTGCCATTAACATACAGTCACACTTCCCTTAAACAAAAGGTAAATTCGTTGGTTCAAATTAATATACTTGGCGAAAACACAGTACGAAAAAATTAACAAAGAAAGGAAGATGACGAAAAACTTGTCTACTAATAGAAAGGGAACAAAGTCTGAGCATGTAACAAGGCATTTCAATGTTATTCAATAACAGAGAGGAAGTCAATGCACATGTGTAAACGTGTTACGTGTACCCACAATAAATAATGTATGACCATCTATTTCCTATAACAGAAGAGTTATAATACATCTACTTATTTTTTTTAAGTCTTCATACACATAATACAATATCAAATTTATGGATGCACTGACCACACAGTATATTGGCAGAAAGATACAAACTTTACAATGGAAAAAAGGTACGAATACTTAATGTATAACCATAGAAAACCATCATAAGTGTTCGTTTAACGTCTCAAGAGCTAACGATGTGCCTTTATTAGACAAGTAAAGCCTGAGGGATCTGACCGAATTCAGCTAATTTTACTTATACTCGTATGTCAGGTTCTGTTTTGCGTATAACTGAATGACTAGTATTACAACTACTGAAATTAGATAAAATAAAGTACTAAAAGCGGTCATCAACTCGGATTAACCAGAGACTCCAATATTAATATATTATTTTTCACTAGTTTATTTAAAATACAGCTAAATAATAGTATGAAGATAGCTAGTGAAGATACTAGCACCATACTGGAAGCCAACAACAATAGACCTTTAAAGCTGAAATCGAAGGTGAGGTACTAGCTCATTACAAAAAAATGAGTCAATCACAGATTTATAGCTATTCGTGGTTTATAAGAACATATAATGTACATAGCTATCAGTTTTTACTGACTGAACATGATTGAAGCTTACTTGGCTATTTTGAATTTCTGTTTTATATCGGGACGTTTCTTCTTTGAATTTCCACTGCGACGCTTCAGCTTGTGTTGTTTGCTCTTTTGCTTAGTTTTTGTTACTACTTTCCATGATTTCAATTCTGGCTCATAAGGATGTGACACGTTGGACATTGGTATTAGTGACGATTTCGCTTGAAGACGCACAACGCAATCGGAAGGGCCACTGAAACGTCGATGACGTACGTTCGAAGAATCACTTACAAATTCAGAAGCTTCGATTCGTGGAGGATGTTCAGGGGGAGACGAAGAGTAAAACGTGTTTAAAGAATCACTTGCATCTTCTAGAACAGGAGGGACAATGGGTGGTGATGTCAAGGACCGAATGGAAGAATCAACTTGTGAAGTATTTAGGGAATTAGTTTCCACAAACAAATCAACACGTTCATTTTTATTGGCATCCATATGGTCGGAAGCAACGCTATTATGATTTGGCATTGATAAAACTGGAGAAAATGAACTCCTTATACTTAGAGGTTGTTTTGCTGACAGCTCACAAGGATTCCTGAAAGGTGTTGAGCTTTCTGTTTCGTCATGCAAACTACTCCTAACTAAATTTGCATGCGATTTAATTCTTCTTGAAAGTCCAAACTTTTTACGAGGACACGAGGACGTTTTATCTGTCTTTGTGATATGACTGCAACTGTTAGTAAGTACTTTAGATAGATATTTTGGTGAGATGCTTGGAGCTTGGGAAACAGAATTATGAGCATACAAGAAACTAGGGGTTGAATGAATAATTGGAGAACGTATAACATTTGGTCCAGGTGGCTGAAGAGGGTAGTTGGCTGATTTACACCAACCGACAGGAAATAGTTCACGACTATCGAAACGAGCCCAATAGTCAAAAGCTCCTGACCATCCATCAAAATTTATCAAAATATGGTGGCCGTTCACTGCGCCTACAGATGCAGGACATATCAGTTGAGTATTTCTACGATCTACTGCCTCTAATTTGTCATTCACTTGGAAGTAATTATCCTCTGGATCTGGTGGTTGCTGTAATATAAAAAATACGGTATTACTAATTGGAAACAATGTTAAAACAGAGTACGAACTATAAGACAGATTACGACTTACTGAAATGAACCACGAAGGATCTGCAAAACGCGTTCCTTCAGTTGCTTTCTTAAGAGTACGATTCCACACAAGATGATTATGCATATAACCAAAGGGTGGTTGTAGTGGACTTCCAGAAGGATAAGGTCTGATTTGATCGGAATCAACTAAGAACCAATAATCATTACGATCATCAGTTCCAACCAAACGTATTCTCAAACGTGGACCACACGTTTCTATCACTCGAGCTAAACTGAATGAAGCTGCTCTGAAGCGTCGGACAGTTCCACTGGAGTGAGGATTCAGACTGGACCTTCTACATGGGGTCTCCAACAACTGTTGATTACAAATAGTAGAATTATTAGCATAACGTGCTTTTATTAAGTCGTTTGAATATGGATTGAGAACAAGAGCTGCGCTACGTTGATCTTCCGCTTCTAGAATAGTATTCACCTCGAAATAGTTTGGCGGAGGAACGAGAGACTGGAACAAAAACAAGAAATCGATGTTTTGATAAAGTAAGAAATGTATAATTGAGCAGTTAGAAGTGTGATTAAGATGAAATAAATGATTATATAGAGTTGAATAATGTTGAAAACGACATCAATGAGGCCCGAGTGAATGCGATTAGTTTCGCCAAAAAGAAACTGTTAAAACAAACCAAAAACTCAAAATAGCAGTAATTTATATTTTATAAGACTCAGCTACACTTGATAATAAACTACTTACTATCTAAATACAAAATATTCCACTTCAGCTAAAACTAATACTTCTAAACGCGTGGAAGATAAAAATACTGGAAATATGAAAAACCGAACCAGCAACATAGAACCTGTCACTTAACTTGATAGGCTCTCTTTCCCACAGTTCGAAACAATGTACCTGAGAGAGAGCTATATTAAAAATAACGAGAATAAGTTGTGCGGACGAAAGAAACAAAACGAGTTAATAAAAATTGGTTATAGGCGAAACAATATTCCTACACAAACGCATACATAAAGCTACATGGGTCTCACAGGATCAAACCACAGAGAACCAGATACTTCGTATTTGTATCAATAAAAAGTTCAGAAGGACAATAGAAGACGTGAAAACGAGAGGGGCTGACATAACTTCAGATCATCACCTGGTTATGTCCAGGATGAAACTGAAGCTAAAGAAACACTGGACAGCTGGGGAAACAGTATTACAAAGGTTCAATACAGCTTTCCGTCGAAATACTAACAAACTGGACGAAGTCAAGATAACTCTCAACAACAGGTCGGTACACTCTCTACTTCTCAGACCTTTGTAAACAACGTCGTCAGTCCCTTAGTCAGAAAGTCACCACCATCTTTAAAAAGAGCCGGAGGTAACTCATCTGGGCGAAGTGATTTGTAGCGTTTCAGGAGTTGGAGTTCGTCATTTGGTGAATCAGTCGTCACCGGCCATGGAAGGCAAGACAGTCTGACCGACGTTTCCGGAGCAGCAGGCCAGTTGAACTGCCCTTCGATAAATTCTACCCATCGTCCAAGACGTCGATGGGTGTTAGTGATTGGCGTTCCGTCATCCTCGCAGATTGTTTCGCTCACACCAGACTTCTTGCTGCCAGTGACTCGGATGAGTTGGAAGAGCTTCCGGTAATTACCAGATGCAGCTGCTGCTTCCAGCTCATTAGCACGCTCCGACCACCAGGCTTCACGGTCCTTAAGCAAGCTTTGCCCGAGTTCATTACGTAACATCCTTCGCCTGTGGTCAAACTCACGGACATCAATGAGGCCCGAGTGAATGCGATTAGTTTCGCCTTATCCCACGGATATCCGTCTCCGGCGGTAAGGACTCAACAAGTACGGAGCTAACACAAAAATCACTCATAAAAAGGTCGTGTGTGACCGACCTCAAGCAGCTGTCCCTTGGGCACTGCGGTCACGCTCTCAGGTCACTATGACCAACTCTAATCCAATTTCCTTTTCAGGTACCTCCAGAAGAACCCTTCCACGGTGTGGGCAACCGGGAAGTGATAACCGCCCTCATACCTCTAACAGCACTCAAGACTGACTGACTGACACCCGGAGTAGACCGACGGGCTTCAATGGGTTGTAAGGAACTAGAAGAAACCCAGTGCTTGTAAGCGGGACGTTTCGCGAACCCACAACAGACTGTACCCGCCATTTTCATGGCATCGTGCAATTGCAACCAATACTCATCTATACTTTTCGGTGGAATGGTAGATAGCCTAGAACCTAGCTCGATTCGATACTTACTAACAACAGAAGTTGCAGCTAGTTTGCTAACATCAATCCTTTGGTGGCAGTCACTTTGTTGTCCACTGAAAAGTAAGGTAAGATTGGCACAAACAAGGGCATGATCATAGTCCAGATAGGTACTCCAAAAGGAGCGACACACTTGCACACAACCACGCCAACGGTAGCTGATCGCGATGTGATCAATCTGAGTCCAGGCTTGAGATGCAGAAGCAGGACGCCAGGTAGCAAGTCGGCGATGACCATGCCGGAAGTTGGTGCTAGCCACAAACAGGTTGTGGTCTGCACACAGTTACAGTAGACAGTCCCCGTTATCTGTCCTGTGACCAACAAGTCCCCATCGGTCACCTAAACAACTCTCTTCTGTGCCTAGATGACCGATCTGAGCATTCAAGTCTCCGGCTAGTACTACAATATCTGTCGAACGCACTTTCTGGAGAAGAACAGTTAACTGGTGGTAGAATTCATCCTTGATTGCATCCGGGCTGCAACATGTCGAAGCATAGGCGGAGATGACGAAAATACATCGTTTCTCACACCGACCTCTTACTTTGATGGAACTTTCTAATCAGACAGCACGTAACTGACTGTTATTGAGGATCTGATTGATTAGTGCTGCCTCAGCTCTAGCGCTTAGTGAGACACCAACGCCAGCAAGACCAGACGAAGATGCCACAGGGTCCTCGGATAAACGCACATAAAACAAGCTTTTTGAAGCGACAGATGGAGAGCGAACTTGTAGTACTTCACCAGAGTCTTGAATACGGGTTTCGGATAGACAACAAACGTCAATATTAAGACTTCACAAAGACATAGCCAGCCCATTCTGTTGTCCGACCTGCATAATTGTGCGAACGTGGAAGGCAGCCAGTTTGAATGGTGCACGTGGTTTTAGAAAAACTGCTTTAGTACTCGTATTCGATGGTAACGTACAAATTTCAACCAGGCAGTGACTTGAGAGCGTTTAGATAGGCCAGCTGTTGTATAAGTCGAAAAATAAGGATGGACAGAGTGGAAATAAAAGAGTGAATAGATGACGTGGTAAATAATTATAACAATAATAATAATAATAATAATAATAATAATAATAATAATAATAATAGTAATGCGAATCATTTCATTGTAAATCGGAGCGAAAAGAATGTTTTCCATAAGTAAATAGTTTATCATGTTTTAGCGCGTCAGCTGGAATACTGACCGGGTGTCCAGACCGAAGCAGATGGTTTTCTTAAGGGGCCACACCCCGAGCCTTTGACCAAAAGGTCTAACCCACAAGGCAGTGGAGCATCGTAAGGAGATGCAGTCCCATGGTAGCCGGTGACCAACAATTGGTTCATACGCCATTTGTTCCTTCAGGCAGGATACTGGAGCCCACGTGCACCACTGATTTGGGATCCGGTTAAAGCGCAGGACGTTCGCTTTTTATCCTCTCATTTTCGCAAACAACACCCCCGCCACGAGAAGGCAGTGAGTAGGACTTCCCTGGCAGAGGTTGTATACGCGTGGCCGTGTGAGAGTATTTCGAGAGGGATGGAGAACCCACCCCGCTCTAGACCATACTGGGGTATTTGAAGGCTTAACATTTATAGGCCGAAATAAAACATGTATTTCACTTTTGAAGAACTCGGATCTGCTTCAGATAGCTTCATAACGAACCTTGCAGATTAAGGACAAATCTCGAAGTTATCAGCACTACATGCGTTAAAACCAATAACTTACATTTGCTTTTTAGCATCAGATGTCTTTTTTTCATCTGGATGTCTTTTTCGTTGATTTACTAACGTGTGATATGTGTAAACGCTGAATTTACTGATTTACGACAGCCTGCGTCCCACAACAGTTAGATCAACAAGAAATATTTCGTCGGAAGAACCTTAAATTTAGTGCTTTCTCTAGTACACTGACGTAGTTTATGTGCTATTCAACAAAGCCTTTTAGGAACTATGAACAGCTGTAAGAATATTTTATTAACAAATTTACAAATACTTTCGTAAACCAAGCAATTAGTCTCGTTGATAAACATTTCAAAATTGAAATTTGCCGTTTCAAATAATGACATCTGAGTGTCTTGATTTGCAATCAGCAGGGTTGCAATATGCTGCGCTCCTGATAGTAAGTAACATGGTAACTAATAAGATGCACGATTTCGTGTCTAATTCAAGTGTATCAACACTGGTAGCCGCTGAAAGAAATATGGATATGAACGAGATATCTCTTAGATATCTACAAAATTACAATGATGTTGGAATACCTACAAAGCATTTGTCCTACTGCCTTCGTAATGCATGAACCACTGTGGTATGAGGACAAGCTTTCACTTCGATGGACTACTTGTTGAGACTGGAACCAGAATAAGCAGTCAAAAATAGGTACAATATTCGATGATATTAGATACTCAAGGATAATTGTTTTCACAAAGTTTTCCAATAAGGAAAATTCTGAGCCCTTATGTAGTTAAGCGAATTTAAGCAGTACAAACTCATATGCGTGCTTATCCAGTTATTTTACCGTGAGTGTTGTTACGGAAACCTTTCGAATTATAGCTTAAGGCCTTGGACGGATTATTTCCTTCCTGTTCCTTTACCTCGTAATATTAATAGGCTTCAGACCCATGTGCCAACTTTCACTCACTTTGCTAGACTTGAAAATGTTTGATTGATAGATTACAGCAATTAGTTACTGATAACTTGAAATCTGGCACAAAAGTATATCGGCCAAACATGGCATGCTTTGTATCAGCACAGATTTATAAGGTAGTGAGTGAAACTAATGCCGATAGCACCATATAATATAATACTACGGATACGGATAAAAACACAGAACGAAAAATATGGGATTATACGAAAATCAGGACATAGGAGTAACAGCGACTGGACAGATATTACCTAAATTCTCTAGTCACAAGTTAGGACTAACTGATTCTTGATCGGTAAGACCCAAATACTCATAAATCTACGACCACCAACGGAATAATGTACTGGCGCCATGTCTTGAAGGGAGCTACATTAATTTCTACTGTGGAGAGTAAAATAAACTATTCATCTTAAGTCAAATTTATATCCTGCATTATGATACACTACTAACCTGTTTAAAGCACTCCAACTTCGCCGGGCGACCGTTTGTTTTCTTAAGATAGTCGTCCCATGTAAAGCTATTAGAACTATCAGCTGAAACGTGGCAACCCATAACACAATAAAACAACAAAGAATAACTTCAGTACTCCAAGAAAAAATATGGCAATGTTACGTTTCCGTCCGGCTATAAGTGTCTTCTACAACTACCCAGGAATGTTTATGTTTAAAGTTAAGATTATTTCGCTTGTTGAAAACCTGAAAGAGAAAATATGGATATGTGAATTAAATCAGTGTGGTCTACAAAAACAAATTATGTGTAACATTCTCGACATTGTCATTCTTATTATACTCGCTACTACACTTTTCATTCATTCATAAAAGACGACTTATCTTGATGTTGCGATATGGCAGCATGCAATAACGTACATTTATGCCAGACTTTACGTTGATGATGACTAGAATATAAAATACACATACAACCGACCATCATATGAATCCTGTTTAGTCGACTGTTTGGACTCCAGGTAAGGAAATCATGTAAGAAAAATTACGAGAGCAATATGAAAAGTTTAACTAAAGGACAATCAACTTTCTGTAAAACAAAAAGCCTAGGCCACGTGGACTGACCATACAGGCAAGGAACATTTAGTGTAAAAAGGATTTCGAACAGATTTCTTGAGAATACCGAACACAGAATACGAATGCGAAGTTACTAAACATTCCTTAAATCTTCAACAATCCATTCTGCGATCAAAGTGAAAGGGCTTCCTGTCTTGGAAAATTAATTTATGACGCTGCAAATAGGATTTGGCAAAGCGAAGTTTCGGAAAAAGTAATAATCAATTACAATTGGCCTATCTACGAAGCCTGTTTTGAATTAATCAGTACCAGACAGCACAACATGTGTTAGAAGCTAACACAGCTACGGTGTATTTTAAAGAAATTCACCAAATCTACCAGAACATCGGCAAGTGAAGTTACGAATCTCAGCAGCAGATGGAAGCGACAGTTCTTTCAGAGTTGCGCAACCCTGAAGAAATACAGGTAGATAACCGAGCGAGGGCGAATCGCTAGTTGTATTAACCATAAGTACAACCTAGGAGCAAAGAGAGAGACTAACAAACAACAACAAGGTTAAACTTCAAACTTGGCTCTTACATTTTTCTTCAATTGTTGCGAATAAAGCTAAAACAGTTTCAAAAGAAAGTGTTCAATGTTTCAGACTTAGATTATAAATTATTAAAGTTCGTAATACAGTGTAAAATCGTTTACGCTTTTGTTCTTTCCCGTTTTCATGAAAATCACCGCTCGCGCTATTTAAAAGGACAGTGGTATTGTTCCTCGTTGAGTTGATTAACTGTTTTGATTGTAAATTACGCGTCAAAACTACTGTTCACACTTTAATTGAATCTACTCCAGTTAAAGTGATATTGTATTGAGTGTTTTGATTGTGCTTTTGTGTATTTATTGCATCAAAGCATACTTCGCCGACTTTTACTTGATAATTTAGTCAAGGTTTTAGCATTTTTTTTACATATCCTCTTTGTATCACCATTGTATTTGGCCTTCAAGATGGCCAAATCGGCTCATAAATGTGGACAACCATGTTGCTTATTCCCCGTGGAGGAAGGGATGCAATGTGATGAGTGTAAGAAGTGGTTCCACAAGATGTGCACCCGACTGAGCCCCGCTGCATATAAAAGGTGCTCGAAGCCCAACTTTCATTGGCTTTGTAGTTTTTGTTGCTCAAACAAAACAACACTCATCCAGGAAGCTATTAGCCTCCTGGTGTTGGCTAATAAGAAGTTTGACGAGGGCTGCACTGGCAATATTTGTGCTGATAGCGAAGATCGCGTTAGTGTCGTAAGTGCTGTCACGGCGCAAGTCAGACATCTAACTGCGCAACCCGAGATCAAAATTTTTACCTTGAAACAATCAATGAGTGACACCTCATTAGATATTGGTGGCCATGTTGCTACAGCAGCAACTGGTGATCCAGATAAAAGAATTATTGTCCCGAGCAGTTCCGATGTAGTTGCTACGGCTGACGGAATATGGATGACGCGTAAACGCAGAAGAGTAGGAAAGACAGCTAAAAGTAAGGACCGTTTACTTGACAAGTCTTTGGTGGACTCTCAGACCACTCCGCCAAAGTCCAAAAGTAAAGCCTCGTCAAACATTGTTGTGAGTCACTCGCTCGACTCCAATGACTCTGTTACAATAAAAACTAATCATAAGATACCAGTAGTTAATATACAGGATGTTAGGTCACGATCGATAGCTGTAAACACGATTCCAAAAGAAACTAAACCACTCCCTAGCTTAATTATTTGGAATCTAGAGGAGTCGATAGACAACGATCCTGCTAAGAGACATGCACATGATCTGAAGTTAGTAGAATCCGTGGTAAGAAACGTACTACCTGAAGAGATTTCAGGAGTACATATCACGAAAGTGATACGTTTCGGTAAATGGGTTGGAGGCGAGACCCAACCAAGAAGGATCTTGAAGCTGGTTCTAGGGAGTTTTGAAGAAAGAGACATATTATTGAAAAACGCACAAAAAATTCGTGATTCAAATATTCGTATCCAACCAGATTGGCCGCTTGAGGATCGAATCAAGTGGAAGAATGCTCTTACGGAGTTAAGAACTCGCAAGTTAAATGGCGAGACTAACCTTACCATTAGGTGTTTTCGGGTATTCAGGTCTTGGAAGCCAATGCTTCCGAGGCCTGTATGGGTAGAACGAACGATTACCAAAACACCTTAAGTGTGTGCTACACGAACGCCCGTAGTCTTAGGAATAAAACGTCCGAGCTAAGCCTGATGGTGAATGAATTAAGTCTTGTTATAATTATCATTACAGAAACTTGGTTCACTGTAGATATAGAATGTTCTCCCATCATTGCCGGCTATATCTGTATTAGAAGTGATAGAGTTTTAAGCCGCAAGGGGGGAGGCATAATGTTATACATTAGGGACCACTTTCGTATACAATCAATCATATCGGAGGCTCATATTAGTGGTACATGTGACGTAGCATGTTGTAAGATTAAATCTAGAAATGGGTTAGTGACTATAGGCGGAATATACCGTAGTCCGTGTTGTCTTGGTGACGACTTTATCCTAAGACACATCTGTTCTTGGAGTATGGCAGAATGTTGCCTCATCATTGGGGACTTCAACGCTCCACACATAAACTGGATAGAGCTTACAGCTCCAGGTGGAGGTTTCGATAGCGAACTTTTATCAACAGTTATTCGGTGTGCACTTGTCCAATGTATCACTAAACCGACACATATTGATTTGAAACGTGATCCGTCACTGCTGGACCTCGCCCTCACCCACCACTGTGAGGATGTATTTGATATTCAGCGCTTCCCTCCACTAGTGAACAGTGATCACGTTGTACTTCACTTTAAGTTTAGGACACATGGTATACGATTTGTATCTGCTCCACCCCGTCCCAATATCTGGCGGGCTAATATTCCGGCGATCAGAGACTGTGCGATCTCTACTGATTGGTCGGTTGACGCAGATGGATCGATCAAAGACGAATGGATTAAGTTTAAAGCTACATTCGAGTCCGTAACGTCGCCGTTTATCCCATGGTCAGCACGTAAGCTATCGCATTGCCCTCCATGGATTAATAAGGAAACCCGTAAGCTGTTAAAGCGTAGGAAACACTTCTGGGACTTATTCTTGTTGACAGGTCATGCATCTTTTAAGCGTGAGTACCGAAATCTCCGGAATATTTGTAAAAAAACAATAGCTAAATCCCGTACTACTTACGAACGACAGTTGGTATATGATAGCCGTACTTGTCCAAAACGATTTTTTTCGTATGTTAAACGGCAAATAAAACGTAGTGATAGTATTCCCCTATTATTGTTACACGATAATTCAGATTTACTAGCTGAGTCAGATCGAGCCAAAGCTGAGACATTTTCAAACTACTTTAGCGAAGTCTACTCTACGTTTATACTGGTCCCAATCACGCCGAGATACCAGCCATTGAATCTGTACAGGTGACTGAAGAAACTGTCCTTCCGTTAATAATTAACCTCAAACCTGGTAAGATACCGGGTCCTGACGGGTTACATCCACGACTGCTGTCATCTCTTGCAGACATTATTTCAAAACCGTTCGCGACACTCTTTTACATGTCCCTTTCACTCGCTCAACTACCTAGGGATTGAAAAGATGCTATTGTCAGTTCTATTTTTAAGGATGGTCAGAGACACATCGTATCTAACTACTGGCCTGTCAGTCTGACTAGCATTGTCGTTGAGTTACTTGAAAAGATAATTCGGGTTAGGTTGCTAAGCCACATAGATTCACACAATCTGTTAGCTCCTGAGCAACATGGATTTCGTGATAAGCGTTCATGCTTGACTAACTTATTGCGAGAGAGGATTGGACAGCAGCCTTAGATAAAGGCCTGTCTGTCGATGTTATATTCATATATTTTAGCAAAGCATTTGACAAGGTTTCTCACTTAGGTCTTATGCAGAAGCTCACGAGCTTCGGAATAATAGGTGCTGTACAGGAGTGGATAGGAAACTTCTTATGTGACCGCAGACAGAGAGTGAGGGTCAATGGAACGCCATCCGATTGGAAGCCGGTCAAAAGTGGTGTACCCCAAGGCACCATCTTAGGCCCTCTGCTCTTCCTTCTCTACGTTAACAATTTACCGCTGTCGCTTAGGTCGTCAACATTATTGTTTGCGGATGACGTGAAAATCTGGAGAACAATAAAAAGTGAGGCTGATCATTTGGATCTCCAAGCTGACTTAGACGACTTAGTTGGATGGGCTAGAGGTTGGGGCTTAGATTAGAAATCAATTCTTGGAAGAGTGTGCTAATGCACATCGGTTACGGTAATAGTTACCATTATACTATTGATGGTAAACCTCTTCCATGCGTTCAAGAACATAAAGACTTAGGAGTAATAATAAGTCATGACTTAAAAACAACTACGCATTGCAACGCAGCCGCTGTCAAAGGTTTTCGTGCGTTGTGGTCACTTCGCCGAGCGTTCAAATCCTTTGACGAGGAAATGTTTCGAATTTTATATCCCACCTATGTAAGACCACATTTAGAGTACTGTATTCAAGCAGCTAGCCCATGTCTGATAAAGGATACTACCTCACTCGAGCGTGTCCAGCGTGTGGGAACGAAATTAGTGAAGGGTCTTTTTAAACTCCCTTATGATGAGCGTTTAAAACGCCTAAACCTTTTCCCCTTGTCGTATCGTAGGACTCGAGGTGACCTTATACTGGCATTTCGTATCTTTAATTATGATTTGGTGTTAATATGTCTTATATTTTGCTCTCTCCAGCACTAATAATCTCCGAGGTCATAGCAAGAAGGTTCATAAACCACGATCTAATAAACTCAAGGTGGGGTTCCGTTTTTCTCATCGAGTAGTCAATGATTGGAACGCTTTGCCCGATCAAGTGGTATCAGCCCCATCAGTGAATATTTTCAAAGAGAAACTGGACTTTCACTGGAAGGCAACCTGTTAGGATTAACACAGGTCCACCAACCTACTATCCTTATTAATGAAGACTGAAGACTGATTTCAAACTTTGCAAACGAAATATCAAGGCTTCATAATTTCCTCAAGTTTCAGTCTCCGTTTCTGTTTGAAAAAGTCACGAAGCAAGGTGACCTCAGTTAGTTTTTCTACTATGGGAACCAGCTTAGTTGATGTCTTTGGATCTTTTTCAATGGCTCGCCATCTCTTTTTAGACAGTAAATAGCTGTTTGTACACAGTACTCCAGGTTAGTACGAACGAATACTGTATATAAAGTTCAAAGAGTTTTAGCATCGACATGGCTAAAAGCTCTACGTATTGATCATGGGGTTCTAAAACATTTGATAGCTACCGCACGGCAGTATGCCGTAGTTTCCAAGTCGTGGCTAACAATGATTCCTAAGTCATTGCGTGTCTGGACAACAGGTAGCTCAGTGTTATTCACTGTGTATGTATCTGTACCATGTTGACCAATATACATCACAATTCACTTGGAAGCATTTATCAGGAAATGCCAAATTCTATACCATTCAGATCATTTCTCCAGGTCGTTTTGAAACTCCAAACCATTGCCTTTACTTTTTATCGCTCTTCATATCGTCAGTATATAACGGAACTGATGATGATAAGAGACTAGGA